TGATACAATGAATTGTCAAAACTGTTGAAAAGTGAGATGCTATATAGGAACGTGTGGGCGGGACATCATGTGTATCCTTTAGAGTTTCTGCAACAGGCAGAGACTCCTGAACGGGTGGATAAAGCTGGCAGGACTCGTCCAGCACACCTGCTCGTGAGGCTGTGTGACAAGGTAGAGACATGCAGGGCCAGCGTAACTCAGCCGCACTGAGCAGAAATTGGAGGGCCTGTCGCAGCACCTGACTGGCCAGACTGCATTAGCCTCCGCTAATCCCCCAGAGCTTCCTGCCAGGTCACTTCTGGTCTCAGACATGGAGCAGAACCTTCTTCGGCACTCCACGGGCAACTGGGAGAGGGGGATTCCAGAACGCTGCTGACGTCAGAGGGGTTGTCTCCCTTGGTGCTTGCTGCAGCCGCGGGCCGTGGAAGAACACCTGTGAATGTAGGTGTTTAACCACCCACCTTACAAGGATGTTTGAAAAAGAACCCGTTAAGAAGGGAGGTCTGAATCGGACTGCGGAGCCATCTGGTGTTGCAGCTGACCTGAAAATGAATCCAGTAAATTTCAGACCTGAGTTACAGCTGGTGCAGGGAGATCTAAGAGACAGGTGGTTCCCTTAACAGCTGTACATCCAGAGAGGGGAGGCAAGAAAGAAAATCCCAACTTCGCTGAACCGTCATGGGTTTTCTGGGATCTGTAGTAGCTTCCTGACCTTTTGCCATGATAATGACCACATCAAGGCAAATAGTATTTCTCCCTTCCTTTTGTTGAAATAATCCCTGCAGGTCAATGAATCTAAGATTTTAAGTGAGTGTATCAAGTGATGGATGGATGAAAAAGACTCGTTATTAGCTGGGAGGGTACTCTCAGAAATAAGAGTCTTATATTGGTGGTGTACAGACTAATGTCTCTTTGGGGGGAAAACCACAAATTACCGTATCTAAGGTGGCTACTTGAATTTGTACTTCTGTATTTATCCTGCAAATTTTAAGAGAACTTTAATCAAACACTGTTTTTATTAGGTGAATTAGTATGCATGCTGAAATGAAGTGTAAGTTATTTTTAGCTCAAGAAAAGTAAAGAATAATTTTGACTTTTTAAAAACTTGTTCTAAACAAAACACTTTGGCCATATATCCATGTTGTTTTGAGAAGGATTTTAGGCAGCCCTGGTTTTTATTCTCGGATTAAGGGGTAATGAAACTAAAGCAACTAAGGTATAGAGGAAGTAAGCTATTTCTGTCTAAGTCACTCAGGAACCAAATGTATGAAACTGAAAGTGGAGTCTTGAGGTGATATTCCCAATCCTGTTGTCTTCCCCAAAACCCCCGTGTTTGTGCAAGTAGTTCAGTGCATGAGGGTAACCAGCTGAGGCTACAAGCAGAGGCAGAAATTCAGCCCAGCCCCTGCTCGCCATGCCTGGGGTCATGGGGAGGAGCTGTGCCCACGTTTTCCAAAGGTGCTAAGTCTCTTTCCCAAGCACAGCACCGAGGGGCTGAGCTGTTGGTTTGGGGTCGGGAAGCAGATCACCAGTATCAACCGGGATGTTCTCCTGTGTATTATTACAGCTACAACTAGACCTTAGCTTGGCATAATCTCTAAAAACCTTTGTTTCAATGGGTAAAGGAGGCAAGAGCTACGCACAGTTTGAAGAGGGTCTGTCGAGGTAACCCTGATTGCATAAGCTAAGAGGACACTGGATGCACCTGGGAAGAGTTTGAGATTTGGGGTATCTTCCCATCTGCCCTTTTGGACATGAGATTCATCTCCTCATTCCTTTCCTCTCTGCCTCCCTATCTCACACTGCTCGCTTGTCCTTTCTCTAAACACACACACACACACACACACACACACACACACTCACACACACACACACATACACACACGCACCACCTTCTATTCACTACAGACTTTGTTCAAGAGGAAAGTGCTTTAGCCAAATTGACACGAAGATGTAAAGAGCTAAGAACAATTAGATGTTTCCATCCCCATGGGGAGCATTTTAATACTTAAATCGAAACAAACTGTACCTTCCTAGCGGATTTCAGGCAGTGAGAAGTAGTAGGGATTTTGTTCAGACATTGAAGGCGGGAGCGCTTCTTTTATTCCCAAGACCGTTGCAGCTTGGTCGGAGCTCTTCCGGTTGGACCCACACACGGGGTTCACTCAGGAGCATCATCTTTGCTCCTTGCTGCTTTTATCTTATCGTTGTCTTTAGTTCGCCATTTTCGGTGCCCCTGCCCGCCCTTCCACCATCCCTGTATGCTGGTCTGCACTTCCTTCTCAGCTCTGAGCCTGGCCACCCTGGCTTTCTTCTTCATCTTCTGAATTGCTTTCTCTCCAGGCAAGCACATGCCTTATAACTTCCACTCCACTGTTAAGTCTTCTTTCTTCTAAATAACCCCGTCCCAAAATCTGTCTGCATGAGGGTATCAGACTCTGCCCCTATACAGAAACTCTGGTTATCGTGGTTGAAGTTTCGAGCCTCCCCATTGCTCCCTTCTCCAGCAGCCAACACCATAAGCCCAGGAGAGGGAGAGAAGAAGTTCCTGAGCTTCTGTGAGGGGCTTTCAGAAGGCAGAGGTTATGATGTCTCTCTCTGCTTTTCTTACTAGACCAAGCCCAGTGAAGCATAGTTGGAATTTCTGTCTTCCTCTTCTTCTTCTTAGAGTGATTGCAGTGGGTTGCTGGAAGCAGGGACTTGACTTCCTTGTTTAAACTTCTTCCTAGATCTGAAGCAATTCCTATAGCTGGTCTTGGGCTCACATCATGCCACTAAAGCCAGAGTCACTCGTTAAATTGAACAGTTCAGTAAAAAAAAAAAACAAAAAACAAAAAACTACCATCAGGCCAAATGAACTCTGGTCACAGGAGTCAAAATAGCTAAAGTGAAAAACTCATCTAAAAAAATGGTCAGTCTGGCACCTGGGTGGCTCAGTCGGTTAAGTGTCCGACTCCTGATTTCGGCTCAGGTCATGATCCCAGGGTCCTGAGATTGAGCCCCATGTCAGGCTCCACACTGAGCTTGGGCCCTGCCTAAGATTCTCTCTCTCTCCCTCTCCATCTGCCCCCCCAACTCAGTCTCTCTCTCTCAAAAATAAATAAATAATAATAAAAATGGTCAGTCCACTATCTATGATTCTTTCAAGAAACTTAATGATTTTCAATTTCTTCCATCATGTAATTGAACTCCTATCCTACATTTTAGAAGTTTCTAATCCTTGGATGACTGTAGTTTGAGTGCCAAGAAGCAAAGATTGTATTGTGCTTTGTCCAGAAGGTGAAGGTTTTGTGTATTTTGTATATTTAATCTTGGTAGACTAAAACAAAATCGAATATATGACAAGTTTCCAAATTTCTTATCTAAATGAGGAGGAAGCACCATAGATGTATTTAGAAATGCTGAATGAATGGAATTGAACTTTATTTTCCCCCACTCTTTAAAGATTTTATTTATTTGTTTAGAAAGAGAATGAGTGAGTGCACGTGCATGAATGGGAGAGGGGCAAAGGGGGAGGGGGAGAATCTCCAGCAGACTCCAAGCTGAGTGCAGAGCCTGACACAGGGCTCAATACCATGACCCCGAGATCATGACCTGAGTCAAAATCAAGAGTCAGACATTCAACTGACTGAGCCACCCAGGCGCCCCTCTCTACTCTTTTGAATGAGTTTTTGTTTTGAAAAACCAGAATGCCTGAGCCAACCTTTGATGGCTTGCAATGCCAACTCCCTGTTGTCAACTCTGCCATTTTTTTTTTTTTTACTGTCCTTGGTCTTATTTACTTTATTCCCCTAAATAGAACTAAGGTTGATGCCAGAGTTCTGTGCATTTCTGTCATGGTACTTGGTGTATATACTCTGTTTGGTGTGAGTACCTCTCAAAGCCCTCCCCAACTCTCTGGCTCCATGCTTTAGGACCCTCTAGTACACTCAGGGTCAAATATTTACAGTCTTCATGAGTGCATCCCCCCCTTTTCTGCCTCAGCACAACTTACAAAGACAGCTCAGAGGCATCATCTTCTTTCTTTAAAATTGTAAACATTTTTTCCACCCCCTTTTCCCAAGCCTGGCTGTGCTAAGAACCTATATGCTGATGAACAGATCATTAACTGGTATCACTATCTAATTTAAACAGCTGTGTTAACGAGTATCTTTGGCTACAAACTGAAGAAGGGGTCAGCCATCCTTCAGAATGCAGAAATAATGGTACAAGGCTTCAGCACCATTTTCTTTGGTGGAGGAAGTTGGTTGGGAAGAGGGGCTTGGGTGGCCTCTCCTGGGGGGTATTCAGCCCGGACTCCCAGACTCCCATCAGCTCTTGGAAATAAGGAATCCAAAAGTTGCTGGTTGATGTGCCGTAGCCATATCTAATAAGACGTGGGACAGTGTGTGCAAACATGGGTATGGGCGTGTGCCCACCCATACCGTAACTGAATTTCCAAACCGGTTAAAATAGCCCTGCATGTTGGCCAACAAATACTGAGTATCTCATATATGGAACTTTGTGATATACACAATGGTGGAGAAAAAAAAGAAGAAAGCAGTATCCCAGATTTTCAGAACCTTATAATCCAGTGGTCTAAACCATTGAGTTTAGAGAGTGTTTTAAAAATGTGACATTCTAGAATATCCTTTAAGGAAATTGTAATTACTGTAAGTTCCTGCCATTGTCACTGTGATTAAACACTTCTCTGTATGTAGCTACACAAGCCCCGTTAACATGTCACCCACCACTTCCCCCCTCATTCCTGAAGAGCTGTGTTCCAGGTAGTTGGTGCACAGAGTTATGAATTGATCTCCAACATGGGTAAAGCTAATAAATATGGTTTGGGTGAAAGGCACTGGTAAAAGCTTGAGATGTTATTACTGTTCTCATGCACTTTATTATTTTTACATTGTGCATCCTTTTAAGTAGATTATTTGTTCGCCATAGTCTCCATTATATCTAAGCAAAGCATTCACAGAAATTTCTAAAACCTTTTCATTTCTCTCTGTAGGTTGTTGTTTCGTAACATTTTATACAAGAAAAGCTGCACTTGAGGCCCAGAATGCACTGCACAATATTAAAACTTTACCTGGGGTGAGTCGGTTTACTTTTGTACCAAAATCACTTTATTGCTTGAAAATGGTCCTTTCAACTGAAGGTTCTAGTTATGGGCTCTTAGTGGCAAAAATGACTTTGGTCTTTTGAGGAGTGTGTGCTGACCCCTCTGTTCCCCTCAGCAGCCAAACCAGCTGGCCGGCCCATAAAGAAGGACTGGCATTAATGCTGATGGAAAGAGCTCTCAAATAGTATGTCCCCTCGTTAGAAAATCAGAGTGACCCCACTGGGTAGCAGCGGCTGCCAAAGAGTATTGGGTGGGCTAAGATTTTAAAAGGGGGGAAAAAAAATCCAACACACACAAGAAAAGCAGATGGAAAAGGAAAAGCTTTTACTCACCAGGAGCCCCTTTTGAAATTTAGTCTTAGATTTTCTTTTGAAAGGACAAAATGTACCCTGTACAGCCATAATATTAAACCTCCTAATGGTTTCTCAACAGTCAACGATGGTTAACAAAGTCAATGTTTTAATGCCTAATTTGTGGCTTCTTGTTGATAGTGAACAGAAAATACAAAGCTTACAATTTTTTTCCATTTCGTTCCTGGTAATATTTGATGATTAGTACAATTCACTAGAAGTGAACTGATGTTGTATGTAGCTACTGCATCAGAACACGTTATTTCTGGGGTTTTGTGGCAATTTTATATATTGCATGCTGGTGTAAAGTGTCTTGTGCTGTTTGCGTATTTTCCCCATTGACCCAAATATCAGTGATGAGTTCATTTAATATCCTGCTGATGTGCGTTGGTTCTAATGAAGAACTTGTGGTAAGCGGTGCAATAATAATTTCATTGAAACCTGGTTTGATCAGAGTATAAGAAAGATAATACAGTGTCCCTAATGTTTTCAGCTGCCATTTTGCTGTCTCTGTAGACATACACGGACACCTGTGTATTCACATGCTAACATATGCACACATAGGCATTTTATACCCAATCACCCCCAGAAAGGAGAGCATTTGTTTCAATCACCTTAGGTCCATTGAAAATTTCATAGTATTTTATAGTGGCAAGACACTCAAGAAAAAGTTTTCAAACCATTAGCTTCTTAGCCACCCAAAAGTAATAAATTATGAACCATGGTCTTCAGTCCCACCTCTGTGGCTCCTCCCTTTTCCTTAAAGCAAATCAAAGAGCAGAGGATTCAGAAAAGCAAGCATGTGGTAGCAGAATCCTCCCTCCCCATTTTGCTACTTCTCCCTGAAACTTTTAAGGTGGTTTTAGTAAGGCAGGTTTTAGTACATCTAAGTGCTTTTGCTCAGTGACTTTTTTTTTTAATATTATTTCAGCTTTGTTTTCCTTATAAATGGAATTTTTTTTTTCAATATAAATTCTAGAAGCCTGCAGTGTTAGATCACATTATCAAATGAAGCAACCAAGACAAATATTTACTGGCTCAGCCGACAACAGGAAAAAAAAAAAAATTTTTTTTTTAATTTCTCAGTCTCCTAATCAAGCCCAAAGACCACTTTGTAGTCCTTCTTTTAAAAAGAAATACTTTATAATAATCAGCACACAAAATCCCTTCTGGTATATTTAAAAAAACTCCTGAGATGACGAATTTATTTAGCATTTAGGGTATATTAATGCCGAATCACATTCTATTTTAAATTAATGCAAAGCTTGGGTAATTTGAATTCATCCACTCCACTAAAATTTGCACAACTCCCCAGTATGCCATCCTTAGTGGTGAAGACACTCTCAAGAAGCCCAGAGTTAATATGATGAGTGGGCCATGTTGAAAAACATACAAGGGGCTGGCAAGTCTGCTTCTGTTTGGGACAGCTTACTCTGACCCTTTCCTAGCAAACAAGTAGCATCTTCAGTATTTAAAAAAAAAAAAAAAAATGTTGCATATATTCTGTTTTTCTCTTCTTAAAAATTCTGCATGTGGAAGTCAGGAATGGTGATTTTGGAGACCCGTTAAGTGCAAGGATTCTGGAGTTGAAAAAGATGGCTTGGGGATTGTTTCTTGGTTTTCTTTTTCTCCGGTTCAACTTCATCTGCCCCATTACCTGTGGCGGGTTAAAGGGAAATCGTGAGAAGCCAGGTCTGATTTGTAGGCTCCCAGCCTTCACAGTGCACACAGTGCTGGTACATTTGCCACTTCAAGTTAGGTAAGTGGGAACAGGGTTCCATATATTGCATTTACGGATAGTTCTGTCTGATAAACATCACCTTGAACAGCTATCGGGAAAACATGAAAGTTGGTTTCCTTTCAGCTGTGAGCTTTCGGTGGACAGAAAGAAATGGGACCAGACATAAAAGATTAATGCATATTTGGGGGGAAAAAATATTGCAGGGTGCCTTGCTGTTTGATTACAAGCCTTGGAATTAGTCAACATTTCCATAATTCTAAACCAATATACACCTGTTTTCTCACTGTGATGTGAAGGCACAACTTAATTTAACAGAACCCCTGCTGTGCTAAATCTCTCATTAACTACCAAGTGAGTTCGGTAATTTAAAGTTGTAGCACTACTATTTTAACTGGTTGCCTTCATATTATGAAATTAATAAGAAATTAATGATGCACTTTGCCATATGCCTTCAATTTCTTTCTGAATAAAAATAAAAGGGATAAAGAAAAACACATCAGCAGCTGACACTTTAAAGCTTTTCTGTTTATCATTTTTCCTGCGGATAAAATCCATTAAAAAGGCACTTGCTGCTTTTTTTTTTTTTTTCCTAAAGTGTCCAAAACTTTCCATTTAAAACAAGATCAAATAGCGCTGGGTTGCCCCCCCCCCCCCGTTTAATTTTCTTTTGCAGCTGATGTTTTGTATCATAGAGAACTTTTGTCGTGCTTCCAAACTTGATTGATGTTTAGGGACCCGTCTTTTGGTCTTGAGAGAAACAAAGAACTCAGTATGGCAAAGGAAAAAAATGCTGATGGGATATCTTATTCAGGCACCCTTCCTTCATGCCATGTGTGGGTCGTAGAGACCCTTTCCATAGTGGATGGGGGGATAGGGCGAAGGATCAGTGCAGAGTCAAAGGGCACATTTTTCACGCCATGTGACTGAGGAAGACACTGGGTCTTTCATCCTCTGAAATGCTCACCAGAAATCCTAGAAATACACTGTTGGAAACAAAGGGCGCCAATTCAACAGCTCAGCACAGGGAGGAGCAAAGAATGAGCATCTGGGGGTCCTTTCCCTGGGTTGACCCCGCTGTCCTCTGGAAAGGGAGGCCTGACGCTTGAGCAGCAGATCACATCTCAGGCACAATGCCTCACTTACTCCTGACATCCCGTTAGGTTAACAAAACACTAAGGAGTCTCGAGTGCCTACTGTGTGCCAGGCACTAAGCTAGAGCAGTTCGTGCATGCGCATGCCTGCCCTTCGGCTGCATAGTGAGTGAGACTCCCGTCACCCGGAAGAGAAGACCTCTGGTATGTCAGGCAGGACCACGTGACGAGCCCTTGGGCTGGCTGCAAACCTGACCTTTGCCGAAGCCGAGTCACTCGTGTTCCTGGACAGATTTTGGTTGCCTCCGCCTGTTGACAGGATAGCAAGTCGGGCTCAGAGGTGGCTTCTTTTGTTCAGGAAGGCACAGCCTACCTGGTAGAAGAAGTCAGTAGAAATGTCATCGTCCACTGTTGTATCTCCCAGAGAGAAATCTTTGTGAAGGCGACCTGCGAGATTCATTTTGTTCTCACCGACTTGATTTAGCTTAATTAAAAAATAAAATAAAGACCTTAATTGAGGCGCAGGAAAGCCCCCACGATCTTTTCAATAGTCAGACGTCCAGGGCCCCAGAGCCCCGTGCCCATGCCTGCACTGTGCCTTAGGTCATTCTTCTTTCAAGGTCTTCACACATACTGTCTCTAGCAATAAGGCTTTCTGATTGAAAATCTACAGCAGTATCATTAGAGCATTCACTGTATAAATTAATTTAATTAAGGAGGTAATAACAGAGAGGAATACAGTTTTGAAAAAGCTCTTAAATTTTAACAGCAAGGAGGAATCAGAATCTAAATGTCTTGTAAAATATTAATTGCAAATTTCTTCCAGACATTTTCTCAGCCTATGCCTTACTCCTTCCTTTCTTTCTAGAATCACGACCAGTTTTATTAAATGCAGTTTATATTAAGGAGTTACTGCCCTGAGAGAACATTTGTTTAGAGCACTCCATTTTAGTGGTGGCTTACTGAAAGGTGTTTTATAATAACACATGCGATGTGAGCAAGGACTGCACGTAGATTGGAGATATAAAAACAAATGAGCCTCATCCAGTAGGAAGAAGCTGTAAATAAAACTGCCTCTTGGGACAAGTGTGTTCACCCACATGAAGTGAATGAGCCCCTCTTGGCTTGCCCTTGAAGAGATCATTTACCGACGCGGGTAGGCACTCTCTTTCCTCCCAGGTGACTTTCCATGCAACTCTCCATAGAATTGTACCCCTGTGTCCTTTAAGAGTGGAATGCTGGGGGTTTAATATTCTCTCAACAGAACAGCTAGGCTCTCACTGGGACCAAATTCAATTTGCCCATTGAATGCATTTTGAGGTGCTCATTTTCTTTGAACCACCTCTTCTAATTATTAATAAGTATTTAATGCCTTTGTTCTCAGAGCCTTGATGATTATTTTTATCATTCATCATTATTATTTCTGTCATAAAATCCCTCAAACTCCATCTCATCATATCATGGATATTCCCTGTCCCCCGCCCCAAAACCATCTCACTTAAATCTAAGCCTAACTAGGCCGGGCTAGATAAAGTTTCTTCTCTGATGCCATTTACTTAAAACAGGAAGAAACGACCAAAACATCTGCACGAGCAGGATTCAGTCCTCAAAATCGTGTATCATGTAGAACACACAGAACATTCATGCACTCATTCGACAAGTCTTCATCGAATTTTTATTGTTTGCCCAGAACTGCTCCGGTAAGTAGAGAATACAGTAGCAGCCACGCTATTTATAACTGAATCACCCCAAAACAAAGCAAGCCCACCATGCCTGTACATGCTTAATGC